ATTCCCCAGCCAGCGAATGCTGGCTGGGGAATTCTGGGAGTTGAAGTCCGGACATCTTCAAGTTGCCAAGGTTGAGAAACACTGGTCTAAAGGCCCAAACAGAATTTTTTCTAAGAAATTGAAGCCTCAGAACTAAAATAGAGAATGTAAATCTCCACGGCTCTGCCCCTAAAATAGATGGTAGCGAGGAAGGATAATCCGTCAAGTGATTTTTTTAAACAGTAAGTATTTTTTTTTTTAAAAAAAACCCATACATACAGAATTAAACCCTAAAAGATAAGTCAATCCTTGTGAGGTTTTTTTCTGGTCTCCCACACCTAGCAGGAATTAATCTCCTTTGAACTCCCCTACGACAGCAGTTATGCCGCCAGTGAAGTTAACACTCCTGTTCTGTCTTTCTCACTCCCTTAAAATCTTTTCTTAGGAACGCCAAGCAAGACGTTGATGATGAGTATGGTGTGTCTCAGGCCCTGGCCAGGGGGTTGCAGTCTTACTATGCTGTGGCTCACGCAGTCACTGAAAGGGTGGACAAACAGTCCTCCCTCATGGTGAACGGTGTCCTCAAACAGTATCAGGTAAGAATCAGAGAGCAAGTCCTGACCGTTTGGCTGAACCCAGATGTGGACATTTCAGTGTTTTGAGCTGCTCTGTAGAACAAGGCCACCGTTTTCTCCTTGTAGGCTCCGTAATGTCTTTGCGTTCCTTTTTCCCGCCCGCAGATCAAAGGTTTAGAATGGCTGGTATCGTTGTACAATAACAATCTCAATGGCATCCTGGCCGACGAAATGGGCCTGGGTAAGACAATCCAGACCATTGCTTTAATTACATACCTCATGGAGCACAAACGAATCAACGGACCCTTCCTCATCATAGTACCTCTGTCGTAAGTATACCTTGAAGACAGGTGGGGAACTTTGAGACTATCTGTATCCGTGAAAAAAGCACTGTTAATACGTGTTGATTGAAGTGTTAGTGGGATGTAATTTAATAGGGAAAATAAATAAAGCTTTCGGAAATCTGTGGCCCAGGAACACGTGACTGAAATGTTGTGGGAAAGATAGGACACAGAAGCCAGCTCTTTAGAGAAGGAAAAAGTTTATTGCGCAAGTTCAGAGACAAAGGCCTGAACTCCGAATGACATCAGGAAAGTCCTTTTATAGTTTTTAGCTTTTAGCATCGTGTGATGTGCTGCTGTAACTGTTCCAGAGAGCGAGCAGTGAAAAGATAACAAAGTTCAACAATAATAACAATGTCTGAGAAAGTTTTTTTTTTATTATGAATGAGTAGAATTTATAAGTTTGGTTCAGGCATTATACATGTTGGCGTTCACTGACTGTGGTTGAGAAACCTACTCCTGGCTTGTCTGCCCCATTCAAATGGGTTAGAGCCGAGGTGGCGCAGTGGTTAGAGTGCAGCACCGTGGCACGACAAAACCGCGGTCCACTAAAGCGCGCCCGATTAAAGTGCGTCGCTGACATCATCAGCAGCGTGACAACAGCGACCGCGGAGAAAAAAGGGCGCTTTAAAAAGCGCTTTGAAAGCAAGCCAATTCACGTAAAGGTAAGGGTTAGGGTTAGGGTTAGGGTTAGGGTTAGGTTAAGGGTTAGGGTTAGGTTAAGGGTTAGGGTTAGGTTAAGGGTTAGGGTTAGGTTTAGCGTTAGGGTTAGGGTTAGGTTTAGGTTTAGGGTTAGGTTAAGGGTTAGGGTTAGGTTAAGGGTTAGGTTTAGGTTTAGCGTTAGGGTTAGGGTTAGGTTTAGGTTTAGGGTTAGGTTAAGGGTTAGGGTTAGGTTTCGGGGGGTTAGGGTTAGGTT